TTCTCTCAGCTCTGTGTTTACAAGAATGATGCCAACCTTGACCATGTTCTTCCTCAATTACTTATGCTGCCCATGGAGCACAGGAAGGATATGATAAATATTTGTTGAATAAATAAATGAACTAGAAATATACACTGAATGAAAGATGGATAATAAGAAATCAATGAAATGGACCCTGCCTAAGGGGATTTGAATAATCTGCCACATTTTATGTTTGAGTTAATGCCATCCTCTATATCTTTTTTTGTAGAGAATTATCTAGAAGTGATCCCATCTTATCTTTCTCCCATTTCAAACTGCATCCTAGCTCTCTAGAACCTGTCTGTTCAAGATAGTCCATGTATTAAAAGTATACGTGTCATGAATTAGATATAGTTTGGTGCTTCAAGGTTCTTATCCTAGAAGTTTGGTCTCAAATGTAATAGTATTGAAAATTGACAGGATCTTTAAGAAGTTGGGCCCAGTGGGATGGTAATTGAATCAAGACTGCCCTTGTGAAGAAATTCATGCAGGTATCATGGAGTGGGTTAAGTCTTCTAGGAATGGATTAGTTTCAACATGATCTGGTTGTTATAAAATAGTGAGCCTGGTCCTTCCCTATACTCTTGCTTCTTCCCTGAGAATATGACTTCTTGTTCTTCCATGCATTCCTGCTATCTCTAGAACTGTGAGATAAATAAATCTCATTTCTGTACAAGTACCTACCCTCAGGTATTTGACTATAGCAACATAAAACAAATACATATCAATCACCTCAGAGGAGAATCTCAATCTCTTTTTTAGTCCTATTTAACTAACATTGTTAGCAAGATTCCTAGATGATTCCTATATATAATAGACGATGAGAAATAGTGATCTAAAGTGTTGCCCAAGGCTCATTCCAGAGTTGTTTTGCTTTTAAATAAATCTTTTTTAAAAAATTTCTTCTTTGTTGAAAAAAATTTTTTTTATATTTATTGAGTTGTAAATGAACACACAGTATCTTTATTTATTTTTTATGCGGTGCTTCGGATTGAACCCAGTGCCCCACACATGTGAGGCAAGCACTTTACCACTGAGCTACAGCCCCAGCTCCTTTTAAATGAATCTTAATGTCTATAGGTATAGTTCAACTTGAGATAAAGGAAATCAGAGTGAAAGGGTACATCTCATATTAACAAAATGAAATCAGCAAATAGTTATGGAAGCCTTATTGGATGGGAGGTAAGGGTTAGGGTTTCTTTATGTGCTGTAAAAAGATGAATCAACAAAGTTACTACTTCTAAAATATACCTAAATAGTTCTATCATAGTCACCTTTTAAATTCTAATTCCTTTGTCAAATCAGGTGGGACAGTGATATAAACTGTTGTTATGTGAATCAAGGAAAATGGAAATTGAATCAAGGAAAGTTCTAGTCTGATGGGGGAGAAAGCCAGAAAAAATAGTCCTAGAAAGAAGAGAGGGCAGAAGATGTGGCAGTTACTTATGGTAGTAGTCCATGGGCACAGGGCCAGGAACTGGGTAAGGGTTCTCCAGAAAAAACAGACCAATGGGAGATAGATAGATAAACAGATAGATAGACAGATAGATAAGAGAGAGTTTATTATGTTAGTTGGCTTGAGTGTATTTGGAGGCTCAGAAGGTCCATAATATGTTATCTGTAAATTGGGGAATATCAGTCCAGGCCAAAGGATTGAGACAAGGGGTAGGGGTGCAAGTCTTGGAATCTGAAGGTTGGAGAACCTGGAGTTCCAGTGTTAAAGGCAAGAAATGTCCCAGCTCCAGAGGACAGTCTGGATTCCCCTTTCCTCTCCTTTTTTGTTCTATCTTGCCCTCAACTGATTGCAGGGTGCTTGCCTTTAATGGATGCGTGTGTCTATTTCTTACTAAGTCCATTGATTCAAATGCCAATCTCTTCCAGAAATGTTCCATGGACTTTCCCAGAAATAATACTTTTCTAGCTATCTGGGTAACCCTTAACCCAGTCAAGCTGACCCTAAAAGTAACCACCAGACTTGGAGTTGCTAGCAAGAAGGGTTGCTCTGTAAGGGGAAATGAGTAGGAACCAAAGACACAACTTAAATACATCTCAGTGTTTCATCCATCTTGGCTTGACTACTGAAGCAATTTTACTTTTTTAACTCAGGCTTGATTTTCCCTCAGTGAGAAACACTCCAAAGATTCTTGTTATGGGACAGTGGCAACAATCGAATAAGACAGGCTTTCTTATCCAATTTCTTTAGAGAGAGAAGGATTGATGGAAAATAATGCAAACACCTTCCTGGCACAGATAGTGCATTTTGCTTGGGGCAGCTCCTTCCATCCTAGCATATTGGAGACAGTTCCAAGAACCACATCAGAAATGCTTTAGGGAATGAAGGAGTTGGCTGGAAAAGGATTAACAACAGGAGTTAAATATGGACTGGCTGGCTAATCATGTCTGAAGGGGAAACCAGGCAGTGTGGTGCTGATTTTGTGGGCAAAACGCTATAAGGAATTTGCCTGGACTGTGAGGGATAATATGGAACAAATGTAAGGTGAAGGACTCTCTGGGAAGAATACCTCACACTGACGGATTTTCTTCTTTTCCTTCTCCAGACATTATGCATTCCTCACCTCTGTTCTGTATGTATTTCTAGTGCAAAAAAAAAAAAAAAATCCAAAAAGACAACTTGAAAACTGCCTGAAGAAAGACCACATAGCAGCATGTGCTAATCTAAGCAGATGACATGAATAGCAACACCTAGGCCTCCTCCCAAGTTTTTTTTTTTTTTCCCTCCTTGTACTGAGGATTGAATTCAAGGGCACTCTACCACTGAGTTACACCCCCAGTGCTTTTTATTTTATTTTGAGGCAGAGTCTCCATAAGTTGCTGAAGCTGGCCTTGAACTTGGGATCCTCCTGCCTTAGCCCCCTGAGTCTCTGGGATTATAGATGTGTGCCACTGCAAGGAAATGGCTTCCTCCTCCCAAGTTGAATAAATGAATGGTGAACACCCTTGAAGAAGGTCTTTTTCATGAAATGCTGGAGTCCTAGGAAGGAACATCACTTTTTTCTCAACTTGCTTGCTGTGGGCTTTTTCAGCTTTATTTTTAGGTTTATGGAGTTTAGAGTGACTTTGGTAGCTCTTTACCTAGATAAGGAATCATTAACATGATGAATGTTTTTCCTTTTTTTTTTTAAAGAGGGATTTAAGTTTGCAATGGATAATTTCATTTAAAAACAGCAAAAACAACACAACTCCACTTTGTGACTGTCTTAGTTTGGGCTGCTCTGACAAAGTGCCAGAAACTGGGTGACTTAAACACAACAGGCAGTTATTTCTCATGGTTCTGGAAGCTGGAAGTGTGAGATCAGGGTACCAGTGTGGTCATTGCTGGTGAGGGCTCTCTTCTAAGGAGTTGTAGACTGCTGCCTTCTTGAATCACAGGTAGCAGAAAGAGAGTGAACATCTCTCCAGTCCCTTCTATGAGGGCACTAATCCTATTCATGTGGGCTCCACCCTCATGACCTCATCATATCCAATGGCCCCGCTTCCTAATACCTAATCACCTTGGGGGTTAGGATTTCAATATATGATTTAAAAAAAAAAAATTGTGGTACTGGAGATTGAACCCAGGGGCACTCTGGCACTGAGCTACACCACCACCTCTTTTTATTTTTTATTTTGAGACAAGATCTCCCTAAGTTGCAGAGACTGGCATCTCCAACTTGTCATCCTCCTGCCTCAGCCTTCTGAGTAGCTGGGATTACAGGCATGTGTCAACTCATCCAGGTTAACATATGAATTTTGATAGGGACACAAATATTCAGTGCACAACAGTGATCCCATAAATTCTCAGACATTTTGTGGGGGGACACCACTCTCAGAATCCTGCCACGGCTGGTGGGCAGGGGTAATTCCTGGATCCCTTGCAAATATCAAGGAATTAACTTTGGTTTTAACTTTTTTTTTTAAGTTTCATGTAACTGTTTCTGAATAACAATGTGCCCCAGTCCCTGTGGCTTTTATAAAACAAGTCTGTTGCCATTAGGCCTGTGACTCAGGCCTTCCTGGCTGAGGGACAACTGGCCAAGACCTTTGTTTGGGGCAATGAGAGGGGAGAGGGCAAAGTGAAGGGGAGAGACGGGGCTTGGAGCAGAGCTCTGCAACCCCCTGCCAAGGCCCCGAAGCTGGAGGACAGTGGCTTTCTAAAGAGAAGTGTAAGCTTGAGCGTGGTTATTTATGGGGAACACCCCTGGAGCCTGATCCTGAAGAGACAGCCCCATCCTGTTCCTCTGTGGATATGGCTGTAAACATTTATGAGTCCTGAGCACTCTGGGCACTCGGAGGGTAGGGTTTTCAGAGCAGATCGTTCCCTTGCCCGCACACTGCAGGCCACTCATAAAACACTGTCTTCTTGGGAAATGGTGCCGACTTCCACTCCACTTTCATCCGCTGCCCCCTTCTACTTTAGGACCTGGCCTTTCAGGGAAGGGCCACTCTGCCTTCTGGGATGAGGGGTTCCCCAGGTTCCAGGGCTGCCTCTATGCGCCCTGCATTTCTTCAGCAGCCTGGCTTTGCGAAGAGGGCCTCTGCCTGTGTGCAGAGAAGGATTCCTGGTCCTGCGCAAGGGAGCCACTTAAAGAGGAGGTAACCAAACCACTTAAAGAGTAGGGAACTGAGAAGCTGAATGACACGCATCCAGCCACAGATGTACTAATTTAATTTCATGCCCTGACATCAGCTGCTGCTCTCCACTTAAAAGGAACATTTGCATCCATCTGTCATCATCTCTCCCTTTCATTTTAAAATCTCTTTGCTCTCTATTCTTTCCCTAGGCTCCTCCCCACACCACAACTTGATGAAATAATGGGACACATTTAAAATCCAAACTCAGGCAATTCAAATTCTGAACTGATGTGATTTTGTTCCACTCTAAGTCAACCAGGAAGGGCGTCTGGGGAGTAGAAATCAAGGGGCCAAACAAAAAAGCAAGTGAGAGGGGGAAGATTTCAAATGCAAATCAACCTCCTCAACCCATTTGGAACCACCTGCTGTGAACTGGGCTAGAACGTATGGCCCATTAGCACCTTGTTAGGCTGTCACTGTCTGGGCGGCTGAACAGGGACATAATGGGGAGGAAAAAGCTGAGAGACCTTTTCCCATCTACCCCCAGCTTCTTGGTATTCTGTCCAGCCCACCACTGGGACTCAAAGGGCAGGGCTGCTGGTAAGAGTTGCTCAAGAGAAAGGAAAGGTAGGAGAGAACAACTTAATTAAACTCCTAAATTAAGGGAAAAAAGAAGCATACCCTTCTGGCAAAAAAAAAAA